CTGTGTGCCAATTTACTTAGATGTGCCAACCTCACAGTTTTCCTTTAAAAGGATTTTCAGAGGGAAGTACTCAGAATTTGCACTTTAAACTTTGCAGTTATGCTCCTCAGCTCAGACCTTCCCTGTCTCCTGGCTGGCTGTTGAGAAGATGGTTGTCCTCATGTGTGCCCAGTGAGACCTGGAAGCACAGAGAGTCAGGCTGTTATCTGCCTTGCTGTCTCTAATGGTCATTAATTTTAACTTTTTTGGTCCTAATCTCCTGGAGCAGAATGTTCTAAGATGACTTGTGAAACAAGTAAACAAAACCTCCAAGCATCCAATAACAACACAACAACTTTTGCCCTATGCTGTGGGTTCTCAGCATTTCTGAGTTTTAAAACATGTACTCTTTATCCTGTAATATCTTTTATTACTGAAAATAGTGTCACTTTTCAGTGTCCACTTATTCTCATAATTAAATTGTTTTCACCAAAGTTTTTATTTTCACTGATCTCAACAGGAATTCAACTTTAATATCTAAAGAAGTTTTTTCTCTGTTAGTAACAAGAAATGTTTAGTACCTACATTTGAAAATGAAAATGTGTACAGGCTGTGGCAGGATAATGATTTTATATTGTTTGATGACAAATTCCTTGCCAAAGTGCTTGGTGACATTACTGCTATCAAAGACAGAATTCTGGTCTCTGGCTTAATTGGCATTTGTTGATTTTTGTTAAAAATATTCCCAATAATGTGGTATGCTAAAGATACCGTTTTAAGGGAGCTGCCAAGAATAGATTTCAAGAATAGGCAGGTGATCATCTTTAACACAGGGGATGGTATTTACCATAGTATTGATATGTCACAATATTGACAGATTAGGAACAGAGTATTTTAATTTGACTTTTATGATGTAAGGTTCATTGTTCTCAACACTCAACTGCTTTTAGCAAAAACTTGATAAGTACTGTAAATGACTAGATAGCAACAATTATGTAAGGCTCTTACTCAGCTGCTCAGAAAAGATAAACAATGGTTTCTTGTTCTCTTTCTAGTGCATCAAAACTCTTGCTCTGGCAGTGTGTCATGTGGCAGAATTAAGTGTGAGATAATGGTTGTGTTGTGACTAATACACAAAAATATCACTCAGTAGCTAAATATTTGCAGAGCATGGTATTTTTGCATTTGTGACACGTATGCTGTGGTTTGTTACCCTGAGTGACGTGCAGCCTGACAGGATGAGCTGTTCAAATCTGGGTGTTAGGCAAATGTCCACAGCAGAATTGATAATCTCTGTAAGCCATTGTGTGCTCACTGAAGGACATAATAGACCAACTCTCATCCTCCTGGAGTGCATGCAAGCATTTCTGCTGCTGCTGTGGGATTTACATAGCACAAATAACTGCATTTGCAGTGGTGGAATGAAGACATCACTTACCAGCTTAGCTCCTGTTAAGGTGTTAGTCTGCTCTGCGTTTTAGTATTGATCTGTGAAAAAGAATGACTGATGGGGCTGTTGAAACTAAGATAAGATAAAGCATAAGAGCATATAATGACAGTGTGAAGGTCAGCATTTAATTGAATGTTAGGTAAGAGGAGATAGCTTCCTTTCACACTATGATGCCTGTTTGTCCATTTATGTTGTGTTTTTTGAGATTTTAGACCTGGCTGTGCATTATGTTCTAGCAGCTGAAGCCTTTTATGGGCAGGATTGATGGTTCCATGGGTTGTGTGTGACCTTTACAAGCAAATGATATAAATAAAGTTCTTTGGATGATCGCTTTTGAGGGGGTTTTCATAAAAAACTTTGTGTTGGAGAAGATGCTGTGAAACTTAGTCAAACAAATTGTTCTATAAAGCTTGGATTAAAAACCAGAGAAATCAGAAAGCCCATTTCCAGCCAGTTTAGAAAAACTGGCAGAGATCTAAAGACTAGGGGCAAGCCCTTGGTTTTATTAATTATTCTCTTTAAAATCCTCCTAGAAAGCAAATTAAAAGGTTTGTCATCAGAGAGTGGTTTTCATTTCATAGATGAAAAGGTAATTCATATCCTGAAATCACCTGGGTGCAATAGTAATGACTTGCTGTTGTGGCTTGGAGTTGAGTACCAGCAAGATGTCAAATTTATCAATATTAGACTTTGCTATAAATATGACTTTGAGTCCTCAGCCTGAGTCTTCAGTAGCAAACCCACTGAGAATGCAGATTTATTACAATCATTGAAACGTGAGAAGGAGTACATGCTGCTTGTGTAGCTTGTCAGCCACAGTAATGGAATTACAGCCTAGAAAGGATGTATAGGAATGTACTTGAATGTGTTTTTGTCAGGATCAGCAAAGGCTTTCCACAAAGGACTGAAATCTCTTGCAGCCCTGGGCCAGGTGTGCTGCCCACCCTTGTGTCTCCCTTCCACTGCCAGCTGCTCCATCACCTTGTTTGTAGTGTAGGCTGCTCAGGCTTCATCTTGGAATGAATTCCTCCCCTCCTCCAGCACTTCCAGGGGAGATTATTAAAGAGTTCTGCTCCTGTGGCCTCTGGAAACCTCATTTTTCTCCGTTCAAATTTGTTTCTAAACTCCATTTAGCACTGTGTTACACGAGTCTTTAGGTTGTTGCTGACTGGAGTCTTGTGCTTCATTTTGCCCCTCAGCATTCTCCTTACATTTACTGGAAATCCCATGCTTTGTATGTCTCACAGTGAATTTGCCATTTGTGTCTTGTATTCATTGCATCACAGAGCACAGTGCTCAGATCTCTCCCTCTTCTGTCACTGGCAGTTGATAAGATGCCTGTTAGGAGTCTTAAACAATACTCTCAGCTTCCTTGCATGCTTCTCACTCCAGTGCTCCAGCTGTGCTGCTCTCCCTGTGCACAATTTCTGTTTATTGGTGCTAGCACACCGTTTTGTGTTGCAAGCCCTCGTGTTCATGCCAGTTTAACCATGCAGTCATCAAGCATTCCTTTTGAATGGCCACGTGTTGGCACATGGAAAATTCCTATCAGCAGATACAGGTGTGTCTCAGGTATTGGATTATCAGAGCAGCATGAAAAAAACAACAAATTTTGCTTTGAATTGCATAAAAGAGCTTCCAAGGAGAGAAAACAATTGAGTAAGAAAGAAACCCTGTATTGGAAGTGTGGCATTCTCAGGTACCTGTTCACCCAGGAAGGAATGGTGCTTTTCTGCCATCAATCCAGCTTTATGATCACTGGGGGAAAAAAATCCAAACTGGTTTTATTGAAACCCAAGAATTGCAATGTGGTATTTAAAATTGTAATTGTAACCCAAGTATAGTTTACATTTAAAAGGAATTATTTTTTCTGTAAACTTAATCAAGGCTCTTACCTGCCTGAGGGAGTCAGTGTAATCCTGAGAAGCTGAAGTTACTGTGTTTTAATATCCTTTGTTATTGGTCCTCTAATAAGAGTGTCCCTTAGTGTTTCAATCTTTAATTGAATTTGTGATAGTTTTTTTTTATTGTAGGGATATCCATCACCACCAAAATTTCATTTTGCTTCCATACTGCAGCTTTTTCCAACAACTTTTGTATGGTAACAGCCTTTGGCTACTGTGGAATTCTTGCTAGGTCTAATTCCACATTAAAACTGAGACTTCAGAACAGTGTTAGTCTTTGCCTGAAAATAAGATGCTCCTTTCCCCCACTTTGGCAGTGTAGCTTTCTGCTTATCTTTGTGCCAGAAATTGATTGCCTGTTTTCTTGAGGAAGTTTAGCTGTATTTGTCACCCCCAGCGTTCTATTTCTGCCAACTTGTGCACCAACACTGAGTTATTTCTTGCAGTGTTATCTCATAGAAATGATGATTTTCTTTAGTGAGTGAAATGGCCTGTGTGCTGCTGAAGCAACGGGGAGCTGTTTGAGCCTTGTTTCGAGGCTGCTGTTGAGCTCTGTGGTTTGTGTACCACCCTCTGACCACAGAGGTTCCTTCCCAGAGGACACAGATGCACACAGGTGGATTTACTCAGGTTACTGCAGTGCCATTGCAGTGCCATGGACCCACAAATAAATGACAGAGCCCTGCAGTGTCCCTCTTAACAGATCTTCTTTGTATGTGCCTTGGCAGTAAAAACATGAAGGTGAGAATATGCAGCAATTCTGCATTAAAAACATTATATTTGACTAGATTGAAAATTGGGTAAAAGTAATGGCTGGGTTTCTTTCTGCCTGTCTTTTTCTAAGGCTATCTGATAGTCCTGGTCTTGTCATGTTTCTCTTGGAATGTCAGGCTTTTGGGGGACTCAGAACATCAGGATTTCCCTCTAATTGGAGCTCTGGATGTCAAGGTGGTGGTAGATCTGTCACGAGCTTTGTAGAGCTTGGTTCTGTATATTTTTACTTTTTATTTTTGTGAATTTACTTGGTAAAGGAAAGTTTCTTGGATGCCCTATTGCATTGGCAGAACCAATAGTATTTTTTAAGTGGTTTGTAATCCCAAAAACCTTGTATGCTTCATTGTGCAGTGTTTTGGTGATAGAAGAAACTTGATTTTAATGTTTTATTTAGTATCCTTTATAAAGTCATGTTCAGCGTGGGTGTTTTGCTGTGTTATTTATTATAAAATTCAGAGCTTCTGCATGAAAACCCTTTTCTTTTAATAATATTCTGGTAAAAGGGAAGCAGTAAATAAATCTGAAGATCTGGATTATATAGAAAATTTGTTTTTGTAAACGAAACAGAATCACAGAATCAACTGGCAGTGTGTGTGACTAGAAGGAACAGACAGTGGCATATTAAATAATGCCATGTACAAAAATAGCAAGTTAAGGATTATTTTTTGTGGTTGCGCAGGAGCTTGTACTGCTCAGTAGAACTGGTAAGTGACGCACTCACAATCCGTTCTTGTCACGTAAAGGTTTTATTGTGAGACACCTTTGCTAGCAGCACCAGAATAAGCAGAGTTTGGTAAGGGCTCCACCGGGGCTGCTGGTGTTTGTCAGACCTTACCCAGACCAAACAGGAGATGTTTGACACTTGCCATTAACCCTTTGCTGCCTTTCCCCAGACGCCCGAGGAGCTGGAGGACGTGTCTGACCTGGAGGAGGAGCAGGACACCCGGAGCCGCACCAGCGCCCAGACCGAGGGCAGGACGGACCGGGTACGTGGGGCAGGGCTGGAGCAGCTCTGCCAGCCGGGACAGGCTGCTCTGCTCTCTGCCCGGGAGGCCACTCCACAGCTGGAGTGCTCTTGCTGCCAAAACACGAGTAGCGGTTTGTAGGTTCTTAGTATCAAACTGTAATAAGATCCACTAAAGCTTTCAGAGATCACATGTTCATGCAATGCTGTCTACTTCTCACTAAACCAGAGTACTTCTTCAAAGGGAATGCTTCTCTCTGAAAAGAAAACTGGAAATAACACATACTTGAGAGGGCACAAAGCAAGAGTAGATGCTGAGGACTGGCAGGTGGGGAGATGGCTGTCACAATCAGAGGCACAGACTGGTGCTGTGGGGAGATGTCTCTGGGATGTGCTTCTCTCTGGGATGTGCTTCTCCTTGTGAGGTGGAAGGGACTGTCACACACAGCCTGTAGTTAATGCAGCTAAAACCCCTCATACTTTAACCTTATAGTATGGGCATCTCTGGTTTTCCCCCATTTCTCCCTAAAATAATACAGCTACTGTAAATGTTCCTTTTTGTGGCACCTAGATAGAGGTCAGGGCTTAAAGCCTGATTCTGTAGTTTAGAAACAATTTTCCTAGGTTTCAGGTCCTGCTATTGGGCCGATAAATGGCACATCACCCCCTGAAAGCAGTAGAAAATTATAGCTTTGACTAAATTATATACATATGCACTCAGACTGGAGTACCATATTGACAGACACCTGCACGCCCTTTTTTTTAAAAGATGTCTTAACAAATCTTTTTGCTGCTGCAGCAGTAAACAAGAACAGTGATTTTAGGCCTCTTTGTTTGGAGTGCTCATTGATATTGATATTTGAAGATCTATGCCCAGAAGCTGCTTAGCCATATGAGGGGTCTGTGTGGGGAAGATAGATGTACAGCTTTGGGCAGTGTGTGGTTTGTGGGGTGCAGCAGCTTTGTGTCCTGTTGGAAGGCTGTTGTGTGTGGTGCTGACACCAGGAATGACTGTGTTCCAGAAGTCCTTTGGCAAGATTGCAGGGCAGCCTTTTTTCCTCCTTGAGTTCTTTCTCTTGGGCATTTCAGCTATAATAATTCAGTTTTATTTATACATATCTGGCTCCATATTCATTCTGCATAGGAGCACTCTTGCTTCCTCTTGCTTTTTCAAGAGTGTTGTAATTTCTTCGATGTCCCATCTCTCACTGCTCCAATGGGGAACTGAAGCCTTTTTTTTCTTTGTTTTTATCACAACATATAAAACCAGATGTGATGTGTGTATCCCACTTGTAACAAAGGCTACATCTTAACTAGCAAATCTTGTTTCCCTTATGTATGAAAAAGTCATGTATTATTAATCACACCTTCAGACTCTATCTCCATAAAGAGAGAGAGCAGAGATTAGGGGTGAGATAGTAAGACTGAGATTTGACCTCATATTGATCTTCCTCGCTCATCTTGAAAATGTTACTTCATTGATCTTGTCCCTCAGATAATTTCCTATTTCTGAGATGAATATAATAGTGCCTGTGGCACCATCCCATGCTGGGGAATACAGGTCAGCATGGGCAGTGTGCTGGGAGATCTCTGGGTACTCAAACTGGATAAAAATACTGATGATTATTTGTAGGATGATTTTACATCCTTGAAGAAGAGGCTCCTTAGGATCAATCCCTTAGCCACTGTAGGAACAGGTACTGCTCATGGATCCAAGGACTAATGCAGTTTTTCCCAGCTGAAGTTAGCTCTTCCTCTGGTGGTTGTGTGTGTAATTTGTGCAGTCAGCTCTGGAAGCCTATCTCAGACTTATTTATGCTGCCATGATCAGTGGAATTCCACTGAGGGAGGTAGTGCCTTGTTATCATGGCATTCTGTGTTGAAGAGAGGGGTGAGTAAGATTATGCCAGTTAATTTTCAGTTTAGAGGACAATGTACATGTTAATGATCAGGAAAAATTACTTTAAGTGTTTGAAGTTACTAAATTAGTGATAAGAACAGCTTAGCTTAATTCAAAGTTGCTGCTGCAGGTTAAGGTGATCATATTGAGGAAGAGGCAAAATGTTTTACCTCACAACTTAATCCACTTAGGGGTGGCAAGAGCAGAACTCTTTCAGGCAGCCACACACCCACATCTTTTGTGTCAGAGTTCTGCACACAGAACTTTTTTTTACAGAACTTTTGTGAATGCATGGACAAAAATGTCTGGGATTAAGATAATTTTTTATACAGTTTTGTTGCACACTGTGTTTGTGCAACAATTATGGGCTGAAAAAGAGTTGATACAGTGTGTTCTGTGAATGAGAAAATCCAGGCTATTTCATTGTTGTATTTGTATTGCATTTTAAATACAACGATTTAATTATATAGCTCTAAAAATCTACAAAACTCTGAGAGGGAAGCCTGGGTAAAACAGCAAAGACCAAGAAGAACTGTTGATACTAGCATAAAAAGTAGTTAGAAGGGAAGCTGGGTTTGCCATCAGATTAATTAGCAAATTTTATTCAAGTGGCAAATACTGTACATCTAAGTTCCTACATTTAATGAAATGCTGATGTGCATTAACAGGAAGTGTGTGCTATTTTGTTAATAAAAAAATCCAGTTTCAGAATATTTTTTGAATTTAATCAAAGCCCTACACAAGCAGGAAATACTGGTAAGAATTCAAGCATGGTGAAGATAACTACTGTAATTTTGAGTAGGTTCTATGAATAGTAATTTTGACACTTGATACATAGCAAAAGATTCCCTGTCAGGAGTCATGATCTATCAAAAGCATTTAATTTTCTTGCCAATTTTTAACCCAATTTCCGTAAAGAGATTAAGTTACTGAAATACTCAAGGTTGCAGCAGTATATTATATACTTCTACAAAGTAGAGCTGGAAAGAACCTCAAGAACTTGGCTAATCCAGCCAATTGGCCCAGGGCAGAATAAATACACTTCTTCTTGACACACACATATATATGAACATTTCTATTGCTCTTTCTACTTAGCTCATTACTGGAATTGATGGTTTATTGGAAAGTTTTTGTCCTTATACCTCATACGTTGCAATTAACATGTTAGCACTCATCTGGAATGGACACAGAGTGAAGTTCCTTTCTGTGTGTATTTTTTTAATGTACTTGTGCATCCTTTCTCTGTGGCCTCTTTTGGAGACTCCAGGTTGAATAACTCCAGTAACCTTGATTTACTCTTCAGGGTGGAGGTTCCTGTATGTTCCTTTAGTCTCTGTCTCCTCTGGGTGCTCTGCAGCTGGTTAATGAATTTCTTGATTTTTGTGTCCAGACTATTTATATTGCAAAATGTGTGAAGCCACCTGTGATCTCAGCAGCACAAGTGAGAGCTTTGCAGTATTTCCTGCTGTGTGCATAGTTCACAAGGAGCTTTGGATGAGGTTTGCCCTTCTGCCATGAGCACAGCCTTTTACCAGCCACAAATTCCCACCCACACAGCTGCCCATGGCTGCTTCTGTCTCAGTTCTGTGTGTGTGCTGATGATTTTTCTTAGGGTAAACTCTGTCATTGTCTCAGCTGCACTACACCCTGTGATGTTTTTAGATCTCAAGGCACTGGGAGTTGTAAACCAGGCCTCTTCCCCTGCCAGTGTGCAGTGTGGACCCTTGGGTCTGTGGGAACACTGACTCATGCTGCTGCCTTCCCAGCTTTTCCTGGCTGCTCCCTTCCCAGCTTTTCCTGATGGATCCCTTGGCTCAGTGTGTGTTCTTGATAAGTGCTCTGCAAGCAGTTTTCTAACCAATATTACATCCACCCACTGGAGATTACATCTAGACCTTATTTCTCCAGGTGATTTGTAAGGATGACATGAGAGCCAGTGGCAAAGCTCTGGTGAAGCCCAGGTTCAGGGCATGATGCTTTTTTATCTGTGGGCCTATGGCCCTGGGACAAAGAGAAATTGCATTTAATATGCCATACTTGCATCATCTTCTTAGTGAAGGCTGGTGCAAAAATGGCATTAAACACTTTGTTTGCTATCTCCCAACACTTTCACCTCTTCATCTGGTTTATCCAATTATATTGCATCTAAAAGTGCAGCAGAACTGTCATGGCAGAACAAATGAGGCACTCTCTGAGCTTGTTTAAGGAATGCTGCACTTCAGCAGGCTTGCTGCAATTCTTGAAATGGGGAGAAGGCAGCTGGTCACAGCAGGCAGTAAAGTATTGACAGAAACAGAGCTTCTCCCCTCTGTCAGCATCACAACCCACACAGTTCATTTCTGGGGGCGTGTATTCACTTAGCTGTGAATGCTGAATATCCAACATACCTCTGTCACCTCTTCATCCAATCTCACAAACTGATTCATTCCCTCAGTAGGAGAAGTAGCAGTAAAAGGTAGTGGACATGTCCTGCTCATTTTGACAGTCCCTTTGACTCAGTGGTGTCTCCATGAATTCACTTAGGAACACCCTGGCACTCAAACAGAATCAGCCTCAGGAATGTTTAGCCTGGAATGGACCTCAGGGGTCACCTCGTGCCACAGCAGGGATGTCACTCACCAGCTCAGGGCTCAGCTCGTGTGTGTGTTGTTTGACAGTGCTCTGCAAAGTTTGTTCAAGAAAAAGCCAGTTAAAAGCCATGATTGGAGCTGTTGTGAAACAGCATGATTGAAATATACTGCTGTACTTCAAGGGATCTACAGGGGTCCTGTTCTTTTTCACCAAATATTCAGCTGACTGCAGCAGGGGGGCAGGAACAGACCAGAGGGCTTCTGGTGGAATGAAAGCCTCAGCTCCCAAGACAAAGTAGGGACACAAATCTGTTCTTCTGAGATCTCTGAGATTTTCTTATAACTACAGTATATGAAGAACAGGTTATTTTGTGTTCTTGCATGTAAAAGCTCTGAGAAGTTTTCCATGTACTTATTTGGGAAGCTGGGGTTTGTTTCCTTGCAGCCTAAAAAAGTGCAGAAAAACAGTGTTTTCCTCTTTTCTTCTCTATAGTTACATGACATTTTGCAGGACAAAGCTGGAAGTGTTAAATAATTTTCAAGGGAGATTGTTTGATTTTGTTTGAATGTATTGTGCTGCTTTCTGTTGCCTTTCTTTGCTTCCTGGTCCCTGTAAGTGGTAAGAATGGTGCTGGTGTGGGTCTGGCCTGTCACTTGGTTTTAGAAATCAGGAAACAAAAAACATGTCAGTCTGAGATTTTAAGAGCATAGTCAAAGTTTATGTGAAAGTCAGATCCTTGGAGAGCAGCCCAAGATAAAGGTAGCAAAAGGCCAGTTCTTAGAGTTGGGATGTCATTGGCCAGCGGGGTACCAGGGAGAGAAAAATCAAAATCATCAGCACTTAGTTACCCCCCCATGTGTCCTTACATGGCCTTAAAAGTTCAGTTCCATTGGTGGAGAACTGACTGAAACATGGAAAGGAGTGAAAGGAAACACCAGAACTGAGTGAAATATGGAAAGGTAATGAAAGGAAACACCAGAACTGAGTGAAACATGGAAAGGTGTGAAAGGAAACACCAGAACTGACTGAAACATGGAAAGGTAATGAAAGGAAACACCAGAACCGACTGAAACATGGAAAGGCAATGAAAGGAAACACCAGAACTGAGTGAAACATGGAAAGGTGTGAAAGGAAACACCAGAACTGAGTGAAACATAGAAAGGTATGAAAGGTAATGAAAGGAAACACCAGTCTCACAGGGTCAGTCAGGTTGCAAATGGGGCAGCTCAAATGATGCAAACTCCAGTGTTGGAGACTCAAGCTACCAGGGAGAAACAGCCTTCAGAAAAGTTAAGTCAGGGAAATTTAAGAAAAAATCCGTACTTTTTTTAATAATAGAAGGAAGGAAATACCACAGATATAACTTCTCCTCTCACCTAGTCCTAAATCTGTTACCTGCTACTGTAATAATAACATTTTGTCTTAGAAGTAGTGAAGAAATAATTTTCTCTTGCTTGACAGAATAAACCTGCACTCATGTAATAGTCATTCAATTTAGGTCTTTATTTCACAATTACTGTTATGTTGTTTATTTTGATACAAAATTAAATCTATGCTTAAAAGGCTCTGTATACACTTGCTTTTTTTATTGGTCATGATTTTAAACCAGCATGAGGGAAAGGAGAGACAAGACAAGGTCAGAATTATAATTTCCTTTGCCCTTTGTTCCAGTGGATAATGTCTCTTCCACCTGAAGCTCATTATTGTTGGCAGATAGCAGGATGCTGTATGTCACAGTTCCCTCATTAAAATGCCATCTTTCTTTTGGTTTTGAGATCCAGGCCTGTGATCTTGAACTCAAAGCAGTGTTGAAGCTCGGGGCTAGGGAATACCACAGACATCCACCCATCAGCAAACATGTATGAGATCATAAAAGTTCTCTTCCCACTGTAGGGTATTTTGGGGTTTTTTAACAGCATGGGAGAAATAGCCTCGAAATATTTGTGCTTTTTAGCTCTGTGACTGCAGGGTAATTCTGACCACCGTCAGATGGTTCCTTCCACCCTTAACCATTCTGTGATTCTGTGTGTGACTGCAATTACAGGTACATGCTGGGAAACCTGTAATTTTCAGTAATTTGTCTAAGTGAGAAAGCTAACGCTGTGACAGTGCTTCTAGCATAAATAAAATCTCTGAAAACATGTGGCTTGAAAAACATACACATCATGTATGGAACTGATTGCCCATTTTATTAATTAGAAGCAATTCAGCCATGGCCTTAACTTTCTATTTTACTGGTGGTAGACAGTGTTTTCTAAACAAGAATAAGTCACAAAATATTTATTGTGTAATTATGGAGTAATGACAGTGTGTTAATAGTTGCTGTGTGCCGTTGTGGGTTCCTGGCAGCCCGAAGGGAAGGTGTGAGATGAGCAGCATGGCAGCAGAGCCATCAGGACCAGCGTGGCTCCTCTCTCTGGGGTGGGAGGATGATGAAGGGCCAGGATCTTCATGTGGCTGTGTAATGTCCCAGCCTTGGGCTGCTCCCTGGCCTGGTTCTGCAGCAGGCTGGTCATCTTGCTCATGGAGAGCATTAAACAAAACATTTCTCTGACCATGCTACATTTTTAGGGGCTTTCGGTAATCTTACGCACATCCTGATTTCTGGGTCCTGTTTGCCTTCTGCAAAGACAGAAGATGCATATTTGAACAATAAATATTTTTTAGTTCCTAGAATGATAATATAGAACCTTCTCAGAAGAGAGAAGATGCATACCTGAGTGTTTCAGGACAATTAACCCTTTTCGTTGACTATTTTGTACATGAATAAATACTGCATTTTGTAACTTTTACGTGTATCATACCTAAAACTGCTCCTTAGCCATAGGAAACAGGAAAATTTTTCAGTCATATTTCATCAAGACTGTTTGGAAGAATTTAATAATCTCTCTCTTGCTGTTAAAATGAATGATTTCAGGAACATCACTTCCCCTGTTACACTGAGGTTATTTATTTGGCCCCACCCAGTGACAACATACAAATTCTGAAATTTAGACGTGCTCAAACTCAAGCAGTTGGCTCAGGCCATAGTGTGTTTAAACTGTGTATTTATTAATGTGCAGTGGTTTTGTTTAAAAAATCAAATACTCTGACATAGATGTTTTACAAATCAAATGATTCTGTTTTAGGCCAAGATGACTCAATTGCCAGAAGCTGAAAAGGAAAAGATAGCTGAGCAAGTGGCTGACTTCAAAAAAGTCAAGAGTAAGCTTGATGCAGAGATTGAAATCTGGGATGATACCAGCAATGACATAATTGTTCTTGCCAAGAGGATGTGTGTGATTATGATGGAGATGACTGACTTCACAAGGTAATTACATTAAAAAAAAGTTTCTTGGATATTTAGAAATGCTGGAGGCCACTGTTAGAGGAGCAAATACAGTGTTTAATGTCAGCTCACAGCATCTCTGCAGAGTTTAGTGGCTCAGCTAATACAACACATCAGGTAGGAGCACTGAAGTATTGGGGCATTTGATGTTTTGAACTATGCTTATCTCTAATTTTTTGCCTTTGTCCTCTCTTATTAATTTGTTGGTAGGGTTTTTGCACATGTTTTAGCACTTTTATTTCTGCTCTCGGTGAAAGGGAAAAAGTAACAAAATAATCTTGATTTTAAGCTGTAGATTTCTCATCTGTTGTTCTGTCTACTTGTATCAGAGCATGCTGTCAAGCATGAAACACTCTGTACAGAGCCCATGTGTGACAGAACACATTCAGACTCATACATATTTTATATCCCATTATTGCTGTTGCTTTCATGAGAACTCTTGTGCTGCTAGATGTAGTTGAAAAAATGAAGAGTACCAGAGCAGATAGCTCTCAAAGCTCGTATTTCTTTCTGCTGCCATTGTGTGTTTGATGATGGCCTTACAACAGGAAACAAGTTTAAGTGCAGGAGCTTTTTCTGCCGTGCTCTGAATTAAATGATGTGTAAATCTCATCCAATTGATGATAACAAAGGAAGATACTGGTGGTGGTGTCTGTACTTCCTTTCCCCCCCGGCCTAGCTGGCAATAAAATAGTTGCTGACAAGTGAAGCTGTTACACACAGCCACTCTTGCAGGACACTTACTGCCTCCTGAAATCAGTCCTTTAGTGCAAGAGACAAAGAACATTCTCTCTGTGTCTTGGTGGGTGTCAGGGAACAGGGCTGCATCGAGCTGAACCAGCTGGGACAGAGCTGGGCTCTGCTGCAGGCTCTTTCTGGGGAAGGCAGCTGTTGCATTTTACAGACTGGCACTTTCAAATCCACTGCAAGTGGGAGGGGGGTAAAGACCTGCATGGAGAAGTCTGCAATCCATTCTAAAACTTGTCCTTCAGTAAGAAGTTCTGTTTCTTCTTTAATGATGCCAGATGAAGTCTGGCAAAAGGAAGATTTGTATCTGTCTGAGTAATAGGTGAACTCTTGTGGCTCTTCCTGCTTATCAAAGGTAGCAGTAGTGTGTGCTGAGAAGCACAGCTGGCTCTTCATTTCCTGCTCTGTGGGAATCTGGGAAGAGATCATAGAATTGTTTAGGTTGGAAAAGATCCTTAAGGTCATTAGGTCCATCCATTTACCCAGCACCACCATGTCCCAAAGTGCCACATCCATAGGTTTTTGAACTCTTCCAAGGATGGTGATGGTGATTCCACCACTTCCCTGGACAGCCTCTTTCAGTGCTGGGCTACCTTTTCAGTGGAGAAATTTTCCTTAATATCTAACACAAACCTCCCCTTGGTGCAACTTGAAGCCATTCCTCATCCTGTCCCTTGTCCCCTGGGAGCAGAGCCCTGTCCCCCCTGGCTGTACCCTCCTGTCAGGAGTTGTGCTGAGCCAGAAAATCCCCCAGAGCCTCCTTTTCCCCAGGCTGAGCCCTCCCAGCTCCCTGAGCTGCTCCAGAACCTTCCCCAGCTCCTTTGCCCTTCTCTGGACACCCAGGGTATGAATATTGCAGAAGGCACAGCAAACACCAGCTCACCTTAGGGTCTGAGCTCACCACTCTGTAACTCCCAAGTTCTTAAATGTGGAAGAAATAAAAGATCCTGACATTTTGTATTTGTTACATCAGAAGCTACTCAGACAAATAGTAAATTTGTGTATTTGAGTCACTCATTACATAAGCTGATTGCTGCTGTTCATATGGTATTACCTTGCATTCATTGTTATTTAATCTCAGTGAGTGGATTTCAAAGTTTTGGGGTTTTTGCTCTGTCTTCTGTATAAGTAAATAGCAAGAAATGGCCTGACCTGCTGTAACAGTTTTCATAATATTTTAGTGGAAATACTCTAATTACTCTAATAGAGTGATTAGAATACTCTAATTCTCTCCTGATTGGCTAAAAATGTACAAGAAAATCCCAGGGTTGCATTTGGTTTGTTCTGTTTTTCCCTAAGCTTTATGATTAAATGGAGCAGGATCCTTGTTTCCATTGCCAAAGCAGACTTACAATTAAAAAGATATTTGCCAATAAACATGTCTCAGTCCCTTTTGCTCATATAAGGGAATGTATCTAATTCAAGCAGTGCTTTGGATCACAACACTGGAACTTGTAAGTCCTGTTGAGAAAGAAGGAAGGAAGGGTCAGTGGTTTAAGCATAAAGGGAGGTCTGCTATCAAACTTTGAGAATAGATTTGCTGTTTGAGCCCTGTGCACCAGGGGAAGTTCCTTCAAACAGAGAACTGCAGGATGTGTCTGCAGGATTTTCCCAGCACTTTGATGATAGGAAAGTTCCAACCAGGGCTCAGGTAAGACTGGGACCCCAGGCAGAGCTGGCTGCTGTGTCAGAGGTGATTCTGTGGATGCACCACAGAGACACCAGTGCTGGTGACTGGCCTGGCTGGGATGTTCCACAGCCTGCCCTGACAGCATGCAGCCCATGGATTCAGGATTCACAGTGCCTTTTGAAGGCTCTGGGACAATCCCTGTCACTTTTCTGTGGTGTAAAGACTAAATGAGAATCACTGGGCTTTTTACCCCTTACCCATTCTGTAGATTGTTCGATTCCAAATGGACACTTTCTTTAAACAAAAGAGTGCAGCTCTCAGCAAACTGTTCAGAAAGCATCTCATATTTGTTCTTGCTACTTGACATTTGTTTCTAAAATGGCATCAATATTGGAGTTAATATGAGAAATATAGTGAAAATAGCAAAACAAATTAACAAGACAAGAAAAATGTAGATCTAGCAAAGTCATCCTCCAAAAGCTGTCCCCCTTTATCTTTGTAGTAAGACTAAATGTCATTCTCTAGTACTTCAAGGATTGCAGCTTGCCTAAACTTTTCTCTCTGTAGTACTCCTGGTTACCACCAAGTGCAGCTGCCTTTTTGGGCAGGGCTCCTCACCTGGTAATAGCCACAGTCCTAATTCACAGCCTTAATTCATCTGGGCTTCTAGTCTCTGCTTGGGAGAGCAAACTGAGATGGCAGTTCTGTACTTACTGCACTCAAAGAGACACACAGATGACAGAGGACAGAAAAGGGTTCTATTCCGAGTCAAGTTCCTCACCATAACTCACTATTTGATTTACTTTTCCTTGTGCCCCTTCCCACTTCAGAGTTACCTGTGATCCTCCTACTTCCCATCCAGCAGCCAGATGCTTTTGAAATTCTGTGGAGCTTTTTCATTGCATCCTGAACTCTGCTGCCTTCCTTACCTTTTTCTGGCCCTCCTAGCCCTCAGATTTGTATCAGCTCCATCCAGCTCCTCTCACCCACGTGGAAGTCCCATATCCCAGCTCTCCTGCTCAGTCTCATTCCCATCACCAACCTGGTCTGTCAGTGCCACAAAAGGCAATGGTACCTTTATCAGTAACCCCCTGAACCAAGTGTCACTGCAGTCACAGTTCAGCTTGAGATACATGTGGGAATTGCCCTTTTCCCTTCCCTCCCTGCCCCTCTCGGGGCATTCACTGCTCAGCACTGTTTCATTAAGCATCTGGGATGCTTTTGAGAGTCCATAGCTGCTCAGTGTTTGCATCATGAGCCATAGATGGGAACAAACAACTTCCACTTTAAATGAATTCATCAAAAATCACTTAAAGATGGAAGGTTGTAAATGTTTTGCTAACAGAGGTGCTGTGAAAATGAGCAGCAGAACTGCATTAGCCGCAGTGGAGCCAGGGCAGTGCTCAGGATCCTGGCTGTCCTGCCAGGGCTGTGGGCAATGGCCTTGGGCAGGGGCTGCTCCCAAATAAACACGGGCTCTCAGCTTTGGGATGGATCCCTGAGGGTGTCAGTTTAAGCTGTGTAGCACAATCAGCTGATACTGCTCCTTCTGCCTGAATGCCACAGAGCTTCTAATATTTACACAAATAAGTCAGGATTTTGAAGGCAGAAATCCAGTATCTGTGTCTTCCTGTCCATCCCAAAAACTGAGTCTGAATTTCCTTTACACTACTACTGTGTCTTTATTAATGATACTTGCATAGAATGTGATATCTCATATGATACTTTTGTGGATGCTTCTGCCACTTTTATAGTAGAAATCATTTCAGCTGATTATTAAATATGTACATCAGCAAGTATTTAATCTGATTTGGCAGTTGCTACTCAATATAGTTCTAATAGTTAGTGCTAAATATTCATCCTTCAATAGTTACATTTCTAAAAAAAGTTATAAAATCCAAATATATTACTTATTTTATACAACCCGTATTCCAAAGGAAAAATCACCTGGTGGATCAAAGTCTTAGAAGCAAAAGAGAAACATTTAAAGAAATAAAAATAATTTAACAGTTTGGCTCTGTGACAGTGTTACTCCAAGTATTTATATATATCCAATTTGCCTGCAAGCTAAGTGGATTAATTTTTCCTGTAGCAGACACAATTACTATCAATATTAGTATTATTACACAGACACAGTAGCTCATGAATGCACAGTGTGATTTAGATCCTTCTGCTAGGGATTAACCAGTTAGAATTCCCTCAGGTTCTGGTGGTGGCAGCGTGCAGCTGCAGAGGCTGTTGGAGCAGAGGCACACCCTTCACATGGCTGCTCTTTGCAGGTTAACAAAGCATGGTGAGTACTTGTAAACCAACACAGTGAGCAGCTCATGGCCAAAATAATGAGCACAACATTTCTTCCTTTCCTCTGCAGCATTTCTGTGGCCAAGTACAGCTGACTCATGCACAGCTGCAGTCAGGAAACAGGTTTTGCTATTACTCATAACTGGAGTAGAAATACTAAAGGGAAAGTATAAACTGGAGCTGCCTGTCAGCCTCAACAGTAGGAAGAGGACAGGTACATACAGAGCCTGCAGCAGCTTTGTTTTCGCAGCCTTCTGTTCTTTTTCTGTCACCTGTTGTTCCTTAACCACCACCGTTTTAGGCA